ATGTTAACTGGGACGTTAGGTTATTATAAGTTGCTGACCATTAACATAAACATTTTGCAACAGCTAAGAGTACTTACAAGAGGAGGCAAAAAGGGAATAAATGATGGGAAATTAGGAAGCTCATTTTCTTGTGCGTCCGTTAGTATCCCAAGCTCAGCACTCTTTATCCTTTGTTGTATTCTTAGCCGGCGTACCTGCTCAAGTTTGAAGATAGAAGGAATAAAAAATTTGACACTAGAAGAGCATAAATATCTGATTTATGCAACTATAGCAGTCAAACCTCTTCGTTCCCCAGTCCCACAGCAAACTCAGAGCACAGATAACATGGATATAAGTATAGATACTTCAAATCTCAAATAGGAGTCTGACCAAAATAACAATGGGAACATCTCTATTCATGATAGGCAACACAGATACATTGAGTGGCAATACTGAAAGCAGGTTGTATTTCATATTGGCGAAATTGTAATAAAAACCACAGTAAATTTCATATAAGTGAAACGTCTAGCAGCCTTTTTGATGACTTTTTTTTTTTAATGACCGTGGTGTTCAGGCCATCTTTCGCACACCTCGACTAATTCCACGGGATACCTACCCCTTCTCACCAGCAACAAGTATCAGGTAACTCTATCCACCAAGGCTAGGGCAGATGGGAAGAATCACCTAGTCTTGCAAACTTTTTCTTTCTTATTGTGTCATTTATATACATTTCTCCGGTCCTTAATATGAATTATGTGTGATCAATAATCATGATAAAAACATGTTTGCTATGTACTTTCTATGTAGAGTTATGATTAGGGTCATTACTATTATTTTCCAGTTAAATACCTTGGAGAACTTCACATTAAATTTTCCAGTTAAATACCTTGGAGAACTTCACATTAAATTTTCCAGTTAAATACCTTGGAGAACTTCACATTAAATTTTCCAGTTAAATACCTTGGAGAACTTCACATTAAATTTTCCAGTTAAATACCTTGGAGAACTTCACATTAAATTTTCCAGTTAAATACCTTGGAGAACTTCACATTAAATTTTCCAGTTAAATACCTTGGAGAACTTCACATTAAATTTTCCAGTTAAATACCTTGGAGAACTTCACATTAAATGATTAGTATACTAAACACAAAGCTAAGTAGACATAACAGTAATAAATACAAATTCTGAAAAAGAAGAAGAAGAAATATACCTCCTCCATATGCAAAAATATCTTGTTTCTCCTACTTCTAATATTATCTCGAATTTCCTGCAACTCCATTTTAGCAAAGTCCTCTACTGTCTCAGGTCCTTCAATTATACAAAACCTGTACAAATCAATCCCAAATCCTCTAAACAGTCAATTTTCTCCCTTCCTTATAACTTTCAATAATTAATCACAAGTACCGAAACATTCAAACAAATAATTCCTCAAAATTACCCGGCGGCGTTTTTATCGAAGGATTCAGAATCTAACGAAGTAGCGTATGAAGATGCATCAGCATCGGAGGCCATGGATCGGCATGTAATTCTATTTCTACGATGTCCATGGAGGAGATATGTTGAGGTAGGAAACGCCGAAGTGGATGGAGAAAACGGCGTCGTTGAACAAGATAAATACAGTATTCGGCCTGCACATACCATTTCTGAGACGGAGAAAAATCAGATTACAAGTTCATGGAGATTAAGTTAGAGCTACTGGATCGGCTGAGAGGAAGAAGATGACAAGAAAGAGCATCAAGGCTTGTTCAGGCGGTAAGTGGTGGGTATTTTTCTCGTTAAACCCAATACTTCCTCTATGCCCAAACTCAAAAATAAAAATTGTTGGGTGGTTTATACGTGTCACTGGGTCATTGTTGTTTATTTGTAAAGATGGACCACGCAATTAATGGGAGGATTAGATCATTTTGTTTTTTTTCTTTTCTCTTTTGGAAATTTAGTGGATTTTTTTTCATCTTTTAATTATGATATATTTTGATTCTGTGGTGAAGTGAATGAGGCTAGACTGTTCGTCTCTTAGAGCCTTTTTAATTGACTTAAGAGTTGGTTAAATCTAATTTTTTAAGTTATTTTTAGTTTTAGTGTTTGACAAATTTAAAAATAACTTAAAATAAGTTTTTTTCACCCGCTTAAAATAAGTTTTTAAAATGATTTAAAATAAGTTAAATGTAAAAGTATGACTGCTTTTTATTTTTTGACTTAAAAGTAATCTAAATTTGATTTTTGAAAGTTACTTTTTTTAAGCCAATTCAAACGGACTCTTGATTAGAGTTCTGGATTTGAGTCTTGGGTATGAATTTTTTTTTGGTGAAGTGGATGAGGCTGGACTGTTTTTTTCTTAATTAGAGGTTTTGAATTCAAATCTTGGATATGGAGAAATCGTGGCTAGGAAGCGTTATTTCTGAATAAGGTCATAACTGACACAAATTTGAATTAGTCGAATTTCAATACGGGTACCGAGCAAAAATAATACAAAAAAAAGAGATAAATTTTGTGTTGATGTTTATGATAGTTGAATAAGCATAACCATTTATGTGAAAGCGTGGTTATGTTTTTTTTTTTCTAAAAAAAATAAAGATAAAACAAGTTCAATTTTAAAAAAAGACTTGAGAAATAGGAAGGGTATTGAGTGAAGTGTGGGGCTTATTAGTTCAAGAATAAAAATGTCAATGGTGGGAGCATTTGGAAGAGTTATCTTTTTCTTGATAATGCAACTTAGCTTCATGTAATGGATACTTTTGCTTTCATTAAAGTAACTACACAACAAAAACATAAAATTAGAAGGGGACAAATATGTCTATGTCACGCATTCAAATTAGGATGAGATTAGATTGACATTCATTTCTTACTACCCATTGAGTGACCTCAATTTTAACTAACTGAAAGTACTTTATGAACTTCACCTTCAATTATTATTAATATTACTTAATTTGGAAAGAGAATACGCATGTCTCCGTCAACATGTGTGCTTCTCGAAATTTAATTTTGAATTTAGGGGTATTTTGGTCATTATAAATTTTTTATTTATCTATTTTAATGACTCAAAATAAATTTATTATTTTCATTCAATACTATTTTTATTATTAAATAACGATAAAGTAATAATAGTCAAATTTAAAATTTTAAAATATAATTAATAAAATAAAATCCTAATAAAATTTATTTGTCTTATCGGAATTAGAGTAAAATAAAATAAAATAGACGGAAAAAAAAGATATAAATAATAACTTAGTCAAATAGTTTTAGTAATTAATTATATAACATATTTTTTTATAAGTGATATGGTATTACAGGAGACACTATAAGAACAAGGGAAAAGGGCCTGATATACCCCTCAACTTTGCCATTTGGAGCTGATATGCCCCTCGTTATGAAATTGGCTCATATATACCCTTACCGTTATACAAACGGCTCACATATACCCTTACCGTTACAAAATGAGCTCACATATACCCTTCATTTAACGGAAGTGAAAAAGTTAGTTTTAAATTTATATTTTTTACTTTTAATTTTCTTAAAAATTATTTAGGGGGATAAATGATTCTTCTAGCAAAGTTCAAGGTATATTTTAATCTTTTTCATACACAAATTATTTTTTGACTTCTTTTATTATAATTATTTGAGTTTCTTATTCTTATTTATTTTTTCTTCATTCCTTAGTGTAAAAGAAAAAAATTTAAAATATTTTTTGTGTGGCTATATTATATTTAAACTATTTTTTGTGGCTATATTATAATTAAAACTTTTTTTTTTGTCATATTGTATTTAATTTTGTATTTGAGAAAAAAATTTGGTCATCTATAATAAGTTTTTACAAGAATATTTGTGAAACATAAATAAATTTGACCATCAAAATAATAAATCTAAATTAGGCATTGAACAAAAAAGTTAAAAAATATATATATGTTTGAGGAGGATTAAATATACTCATATGGGATTATATATATTTTTTTAAATAATAAAAAACTAACATGAAATTATTATTTTTCATTTTCGTTAGAGGAAAAGAGTATATGTGAGCCATTTATATATAAGTAGGGGTATATATGAGCCACTTTCATAACGAGGGGTATATCAGCTCTAAATGACAAAGTTGAGGGGTATATCAGACCCTTTTCCCTAAGAACAATTAGATTGTCAACACAAATAACTTTAAAAGAAATTTTTAACTCAACTTAATTAGTGTGACTTGAAAAAAAAGATAATTCTTCCTTTGAACTTTAACTTTTAGATAATAATTTTGACCAATAAAATTATGAAATATTTTATTTTAAAAAAATCTATATTTTAAATATTTAGTATAATATTTTTGTGCAATGTCTAGCTTCTTAGGCCTCAAAATGAAAAGAGACCTGAAGTACATTTAGTACCAACTCTAGGATTTTTTTTTTACCTTTTGAAATTTTCTCAGTTATTTTAATAAACAAATTTCATTATCTATCAATTATCATACTATATTTTCACGAAAATATACACAGAGAGGAATCATAAAGGTACGGACAACATTTCTATCAACAATAATAAGAAAATCCACTAGGACTTGGGACCCTCGACAAATCAACTTTTGTGAACTTCCACTATCATGCTTGGCTATAAGATCAGAGAATCTTGAGCAACAAATTTGTATTTCTGAAAGTATCACGTATTTAAGAAATGTAATCATAAATTAAGTTTTGAAGCATCTTTTACTACGATGTTTCAAATTTTCAAAAATATCATGTATTTGAGAAATGTTGTGAAAAATTGAAACAAGTTCAATGTGATGCTGTTACAAATTAGAAAGGATCCATGAATATGTAAGAAGTAGTACAAATACATCGGATAAAAATAAAGTTCAAATCGCTACCCAACTTCAGAGAACAAAAAAATATTCATGGCAGTAATAAACATTTTATTTTATTTTAACACTCCACACTAGGTGGTTTTTTGGGATTTAGGCATGACCCTAACCTGTAGGTATATCAAACAAAAGTAGTACAGTGATGAGGACATGAACCATAGCCTCACTATGAAAAGGAAGAATGTAACTAATAAATGAGAGTTGTTAGAATGAATATAAATATCCATATTAGAATGAGAGTATTCATCTATACAAAATGAGGCTAAAATAAGTAGTTAAGACTAGTGGAAGTACATTATCATCTATCATTAATAACAAATTGATTCCTTCAAAGTTTGACCCTGAAGTTTGGTGTGCCTTCTCTATCCATTGTGATAAGAGCCTTAACCATACAAAGCAGAGAATCAACTAATTGAACATTTGGTTTCTTTTCCCAATGTTGGCAAGATAATCTGTAACCATGTTACCTTCTCAATAAATATGGACAAAAGAGCAATTGAGATTCTTAGAGATTTTTTTTTTATATTAGTAATAATTTGTTGCATCTGCCAAAACATCTTCATTTTGTTGTTAATCATGTTGATGATAACTTAGAGTCAGACTCAACAATCACAAAACTATAACCTTTATCAAAACATATATATATCTAGTTAACTAAATAAGAAATAAAATTCATTTTTATACTAAAAGAAGTGCTTCTCAAGTATCCCTAAAAAACAGAGGGAATAAAATGAAAAACATTATTTGACATTCTAGTTTTAATTTTGAGTACCAATTTCACTCCTAATAGTCTCACGCAAGGAACCATTTACTTTCAAAATACTTTCTCCCACTTATATGAATTTTGTTGTACTAATTGAAAATAAAGACCCAACAACTATACTTTTTTCAAATTATATAACAGAGAATAACAAAATAAAATTTAATTATCCACTGAAATAGAGATCCAATTTGAATATTGAACTTGAAGCATAAAGAAGACAAAGGAATGTGAGAAATCTTAATAGGCCGATTAATGTTTATAAATTATTTTCTAAAAATGTGACCACAATTCTTTCATCTATCCGAAAGAATATCTTTTCAAGAAAGTTAAAAATTGTTTTGTTTTCGAAAATAAATGTTTTATACTAATGTAACCCAAGTGAGAGAATATTGAAAATGGGATTATATTATTTAAAATATTTTATTTATAATAAGTTGTATGCTTGTCCGTAAACCCCATTTACAATGTGATAATTAATTTTGAGTCATGACTTTATGTGTTTGGTAGGTCTAGTGAAGTGATAAGTGTAGACCTATCAAGTCCCATAACGGAAAGGGTTACTAGAATTTTACTATTATATCTAGGTCCCCTCTCTAATCCTAGATAAAATATTTTTGTATTCTCTTGTAGTCATATCAAGAGAGTGATAGACAAGTATATGTTAGTTATTTCATTGACGCCATCATCTTGAAAAAGAATACCAGAAATGAGGCCTAATCTATTCTATAAATCGTTAAAATTTAGATAAATACATCATTCAATACAACTAATTTTATCGTTTTTGTATCTTATCATGTTCGTCTAGAAAATTATTAAGTTAAAAATCTAGTATGATAAACAATGATAACTAATTCAAAATCAGTGCTTGGTTATTGGTTGAAAACTAGAGTGTAGTTGTTTCTCTTGCTAAATTTATTTTTCACGTTTGTGTTTGTTGATTGGTTGGAGAAAATTTGCAGGGTGCTATACTTCTTCATGAGTTTTGGAAGCTCGAAATTTTAGTTTGGTCTTGTATATGCCTAGTTGTAGTGTGTGTATATTACTTGAGTCAAATTTCCTCCAACCAATCAACCAACACAAATTTATAAATTAAATTTAGCACCAGAAACAACTACACTCTAGTTTTCAATCAGTAACCAAGCACTGATTTTGAATTACTTATCACTGTTTACCATTCTAGATTCTTAACAGAATAATTCACTAGATGAACATGCCAAGTTACAAAATAGATAAAATTAGTTGTATTGAATTATAACGAATTATAGAACAGACTAGACCATTCTTTCTAGTATCCTTCCTCAAAATGATGGCGTCAATGTGATAGCTATCACGATCTATCACTCTTTTGATATGACCACAAGAGAAGACAAAAGTATCTTATATAGGACAAAAGAGGAGACCTAGCTGTAAATAGTGAAATTCTAGTGACCCCTTTCGTTATGAGACTTATTAGATTGAGCCTACATCAACCATCTCACTAGACCCACCAAACACATAAAGTCACGACTCAATATCAGTTATCACACTATAAGAGGTTTATTGACTAGCATACAACCTACTATAATATTTAAAATATAAATAAAATATTTTAAATAATGTTAGCTCATTTTTGAGTATTCTCTCACTTGACCGGGCTACATTAGTAAAAAAAAATTATTTTCGAAAACAAAATAAATTTAACTTTCATGAAAAGAAATTTTTCGATTTGATGAAAGAAAATATTTGTAGTCACATTTTTAGAACATAATTCATAAACATTAATCGGCCCGAAAACTTAATATGCCTTTTTTTAGTGGAAAAGAAGTGCTATTATTCAGTGTCTTACAAAGCATAGCTATACATGTTTTATTTGTTATTGTTCCTCCTAAATGTGTGGTGAAAGAGCTCCATAGAATATTTACAAAGTTCTTTTGGAGTAACAAGCTAACAGGAAGGACCAAACATTAGGCTACTTGGGAAAATGTTTGCCTACCAAGAACTGAAGGTGGATTGGTTTTTTGGTCTATGATTGGTGTGTCTAAAGCTATGTATGCTAAGCTATGAGTTTATTATAGTTTCATCTTAAGCCTGAAACAATTTCATTTGGTTGACATTACTTGCACCTGGTGAGAGAATGTAGGTGTTCAAAGGGTACTAAGTTAGGGCTTAAAGAGATCAAATAATTTTTCACTTAAACTGAGGGTGGTTAATTCAATTCTTTAACTCAAAACAATTTCATAAGTAATAAACAATTAAAATATCTAATCTTTTTATGGAGGGTATAGTTCTGTTGTGGATTCAATCCATTGGAGATTAGATAATGAAATTGCAAATTACCTGGATTGTTTCGGCTGCATAATTGATTACAACAAAAACAGGTGATTCGATACATGGTTTGAACAATCAGAAATAGTCGATTGGTTCAATCTTGACCTCAATCACCATAAATGAATATGTACTAATGGTTTGAATGGTAGTAATCTTTCTAAGTCCCAATGGAGATGTTAGTTACCTCATTAAAGTTAAATCAATCGGTTTAGCTACAAGGGAGAACTCTCAAAGAGTGCTAATCGACTAAACAAGCGGTGGATTAAGGGTCTAGAAATAGAGATTTTCATAAAACATTGAGTTAGTTCCAGCATAGATCTACTTCTCAGATGGTCTTTTTTGGAAATTCAATTCATTAAAAGATAGATTTAAAACCAGATTTGAGAGTTTACCTGATGAATGTTAGTGATTGGAAATGATGTCCTCTGCGGCACCATTATTGTGACAACTTGAAGCTCTTGAGATGTCCAAAACTCGATCTAATCGGCGTCGAAGTTCCACCATCGTCTCCGACAAGCTTCAACTGAAGCGAAGATGGGGAATTGTGAGATTTCTAATTTGGTCTAGATGCTTCCACTTTTCTTTTATTGATTTTATTTTTTCTAGATTGGGTTGGGCCATTTGGGCTCAATTTTGGATGTTTATTTACCTTTAGTTAGAGGTTTATTTTGGTCTTTTTCTGTACAACTTCTATTATTTATAAAAGGGTCATTTGGTCAATCTTTAATTTTTTTTTAAAAGGGTTAAGATGGTTCAAAATCAAATAAAAAAATGTTATTGGCTTAACATTTCGATAATAGTTTAAGATTCTTTTATCAAATTATTAGTATTATTATAATTTGAGGTTTTTTCAATGAATTAATTGATAATTCGATAGATATTAATAAATAATAATTTTAACCTTTGATATATAAATACCTTCTCTTGGGAATAATTTTATATTTTTACTTCTCACTGTCTCAAAATACTATCTCTCAAAATAAATAAACTATTTGAAATAGGACTCACTCTAACATACATAAGGAGTCACTAGTCATAACAAGATTCCAAAAAAAAGATAAGGGACTGAAAAATATCCCAACTTTAGTCGAATTTGCTGTTGCGATACTAAACTTTTATAAGGACCTATTACCTCCCTAGACTATTTAATACCGTATTTTTTACCCCTGAACTATTTAATAGTGTATTTTAAAGGTATATATGTGCCCACGTGGACACATTACTATTTATAATTTTACATTATTTTTTATGTCCACGTGAGCAAATATATATGTTTAAAATACGGTATTAAATAGTCTAGGGAGGTAATAGGTCCTCATGAAAGTTTAGTATCGCAACAACAAATTCAACCAAAGTTGGGGTATTT